ATATATATTATAACTTAATTTATAGTATTTTTTTATATACTTACATTTACAAGATACTAATAATCTGTGCACAAACAACAAAAATATACAGTTGTTTGTTTAAACGCTGTGTGCGGTAAACGTGTGTGCTGCACAAGCGCATTTGAATGACTTTTACAGGAACTTTTACTTATTCTGATATAGGATCTATGTCCCCCAGGGTGCTATCGGAGGGTACCCTGGGTACGGTTCGATATATCGGAAAGTACCTCGGGGTACTATACGATATGTCGCTGCGTATACCCTGCATTGTCCCACCATTGACTTTATGCTCCCGTTCCTTGTTTTCGGTCCGTTCCCGCAAAATATTCGTTTCAGTATTCACATTTCTTCTGGAAATTGTATGTATCACCGTATGAATCACATGCAACATATGCACTGTTGTGCCCGTTGGTGGTGTACATTTGGAAAGATTTCTCTCTGATCATGAATATTTGAATGATATGAAAAGGAATATAAAAATGAAAATATGAATGTATGAAAAAGGATAAAGACAAATATAGTCAAACATAGCATACATTTTTATTGAATTAATTGCGACGTTTTGAGGTTTCTTCTATGTGATGTGGTAACTTGACAGCGTGTATGTGTTACGAATTCAGTTGGCTGAAAGTCATTGATAGACTCCTGCCATTATGTACAGAATCAGACTACGTTAGTATGTAAGCACATGCGAAATAGCAGTCAACGGCGACCGACGTCGCAGCGCCATTTGCCCATACTTGAGCATAGCTGGGAATCGTGGCGTGATGCTGCGAGCGAAGTGAAGCATGTAGATCAGATTTTACCATGCACACGTGCTGTCAGCCTGCCCGGCTCCAGTTTGAACGTATAAGAATGATTGAAGAATATTATCGCAGGGTTCATAGCGGGTCTTCCAAAGTCTTATAAGTACTTATTTTGCCAAAAATAAAATAAGGGCCCTTATTAGTACTTATTTTTGGTGAAATCTTAGAAAAGTACTTAATAGTCCTTGTTTTTTGCTAAAGGACCATTTTTCAACATTTTCTGTGTT